TCCAGTACGAACTGTAAATCATCCTGTACGATCAGTATAAATTTTATATGATCTCCTTATGTATGTGTATGTTTTTATTCAATCAAAATACAATCACTCCCTTTCAATTTGATTTCTAAGAAAAGTGCAAGCTTCAGATTTTACAAAATATCGCATGCTGAATTTAATTTGAAGTCTTCGTAGTCTGGAGTTCGTTTTTCCTGAAATGTCAATACACACAAGAGCAAATACAATTCTTCTAAAAAAATGTTAGGAGATAACTACACATTTGAACAATAATGTTTGGAATCATCAAAACTTCATAAGTTGCAAAAATGTAAAGCATGCAAATAGCAACTATCTTAACACCCTCTTCAATCACATTATCAACTACTCAAACGTGTTCTACGTTATGTCAAAGGTACCATCACTCTCGGATTAAATATCACTACTTCAACTCTTGTATTACAAGGTTTTTCATACTCTGATTGGGCAACCGACCAAACTAAACGTCGATCAGTGACTGACTATTGTGCATTTCTTGCCTCTAACCTCATCTTTCAGCAAGTTAAAAAACAAATGTCTATAGTGCGTTCTTCTACAGAAGCCTAGTATAGAGCTCTCTCTACTGCTGCTTGTGATATTATTTGACTTAGACAACTTCTATCTGAATTCCAAATACAGTTACAACAACCAACCAATCTTTACTGTGATAATGTTTCTACACTTGCATTGGCCAACAATCCCATTTTTCATGCAAGAACAAAACATATAGAAATAAATTTTCGCTTTATTGGAGACTGTATTCAAGCTCATTACATTCAAGTTCACCACATTTATTCTCCAGATCAACAAACTGACATTTTTACAAAAGCTTTAAGCGCCACTAGACATTCTCTACTTTGCGACAAGTTAACATTACAATCATCTACTGTTACCTTGAGGGGGGCTGATAAAGAGACCTGATATGCTCTTCAGCTTATGCATAAATCGGCTTAGCTATCTTAGTTGCTGCTCCATTACTCCTGCTTTATTCTTGTACTGGATTTATTTCCACTGTATGATGTCTGCTACTAATCCAGGCCGTTAGCTCGCTGCTAACCGGCACTTTATATACTAGCTATGTAATTAATGGCAAAGATATGATAGGGATGAACAGTAATCCATTACTCTTTCTCAAAGGTTATCGGAGAAGCTTCTTCAGGGAGTACTTGGAAATTACTACAAATATATTTGCACAAGCAATCATTGTATTAAGCAATCATAAAATAAATAGGAGTTGTTGGAGACCTTTTTATTTATAATTTAATTTATTTATGCGTGTAGTATAATTACATAAACGGTTCGTTCCTTTGTTTAATCAAAATTTTTGCGTGTAATATAGAACTAGCTTTAGTTTACTATGTTATAAATCTGTATTACTTCTTCTCCTATTAGTCAGCCAAGACTAGCCATCACAGCTGGCTATCATATCAATCGCCAATAGAAGAAAGAACAGAACATGACCAATATGACTAGCGGAATGAAGCAGAGAGAAAAAGAGGGAGTTGAAGAATTTGATAAGGAAAAAATGGAGAGCAGAGGAGTGAAAAGCTGGAGAAATTTCACGAAGCAAGCTACAAAGAGAATTTGCAATTTCCTTGTCATCCTGTTCTTGATGCTCTCCATATACATCCTCTCCAACATCAAGGCTCACTACTGCCAGGCCGCCTATGGTCTCACTCTCTCTCTTTATGTTCTCTCTCTAACAAATTAATCAAACTTACAAGTCACTGATTTTGCAGGGAAATTACGTGCACCGCTAAAGCTTGAACAGGCGAGCGCTGAGGTGAAGCAGCTAACAGAAGAAAGCAGGAGCAATTCAACAGACGGTAGCATTATTTCATTATTCAGTAGAATAATTAGTTTTCAATAGTAATAATCAAGGTTTCACATATATTAAGCCTGATTTACTCTCTTTAGACCTATATGCTGAAGATGAAGATGCTGAAGAAGATTCTGCCATCTACTCCCACAAACCAATTTGTCGTGAATCAAACAAGAGATCTGATACTTGTGATGCAAGAGGGGATTTAAGAGTACAGGTTAGCTCCAATACTATTTTTGTTAGTTCAGCACAACAAGAATGGAAGATAAAGCCTTATGCTCGGAAAGGCGATGTTGGTGCTCTTAGCCATGTCAGTGAATGGTCCCTCAAACCTTTTGGCTCCTCCACTAATAACCAACAAATTCCAAACTGCACTGTAAAACAGACAGTGCTGGCAGTAATCTTCTCTGTTAATGGCTATACTGGAAACATCTTCCATGATTTTACCGATGTACTAATTCCCCTATTCATCTCCTCTCATCAATTCCATGGACAAGTCCAGTTCCTTGTTACTGATGTCAAGCAATGGTGGTTGAACAAGTACAAGTTGATACTGAAACATCTGTCTAGCTATGAAATCATCAACCTCCAGAGCGATGGCCGCGAAATTATTCGATGCTTCCCAAGAGTAATTATTGGTTTACAGTTTCACAAGGAGCTCGGTATAGATTCAGCCAAGTCCCCTACGGGCTACTCCATTGTAGACTTCAAAGTGCTGTTAAGGAAGGCATACGGATTGGAAAGGGCAGACACAATGAGCTCTGTGTTCCAAGGGAGCGTAAGAAAGCCTAGGCTCCTGATCATATCAAGGAAACGATCGAGATCGTTTGTCAATGAGAAGGGGATAGTGGAGATGGCGATGAGCCTCGGATTTGATGTGAGAGTTGCTGAATCTGATTTGAGTACCGATCTGTCAAAGTTTGGAAGATTGGTGAATTCTGCTGATGTGCTGTTCGGAGTTCATGGTGCAGGGCTTACAAATATGCTGTTTTTACCCGCTGGAGCTGTGGTTATTCAGGTGGTTCCTTTTGGAGGGCCAGAGTGGTTGGCAAGAGAAACTTTCAGGAAGCCGATTAATGATTTGGAACTCAAGTACTTGGAGTACAGAATAGAACTGGAGGAGAGCACCTTAATTGATCAGTACCCAAGAGACCATCCTGTTTTGAAAGATCCAGACAGTGTCACTAAGTTAGGATGGAATGCTTTTAGGGAAGTTTATTTGGACAAGCAAAATGTTAGCCCACATTTAGGTAGGCTTAAGGAGACATTTTTGCAGGCATTAAAGCTTCTGCCAAAACGCAGTACCTCGGCAATTTGAAATTTGTTCTTTTTTACGTTGTAATTGATGTTATTGAAGTTTTTACATGTCTCATCAGTTGTATTTTGTTCGGTGAATAATGAAAAGGTGTTATAGTGGATTTAATTGCCTTTCTAATTTACTGTTGGAAGCCAATCCTTTTAAGAAAATAATTAGGAACACTGATTTCTAATTATTAGTTATTTTTTATTTTTTTCTTTTCCCAGAATTATATGATGTAGGTTAATTGGCACATAAGGTGGAGACTTTCAAATAACTTTTTTCGTGAACGAACGGCTTATTTTTCATTCATAAAACCCTTTGAACAAATTTTAAAATAAAGCTATTGATTTCATTTGTACATTATATTTTCTTTTTCCAGAATATCTCTGATTTATAAGCTAAGATTTTTTTTGAGGCATCTTTTTGTTCCTATCTAAAATAATATTTTAGTTCAATTTTTTTTTTGAATTAGATATTTTTATGCTAGAAAATAGCTTCAGAAAGGAATATCAAAGTTGTTCCTAACAAATTTTTTGCACTAAAAATCTGATTTAAAAATCAGTAAAAAATGACCCCAAATTAAACCTTATATTTATTCTTAAAATAATAACAAAAGAAAAAAAAAAAACAGAAAAAATTTTCAAAAGTATTTTCAGAACCAACCCAATAGCTTGCTGGGCACCGTCTGACTACATTTGTCTATTTGAGGGAAAATTATTAGGTGCGTCCAGACTTCAATAAAATATTAACATGTGTATATTTAATTGGATTTATTTTTTGTTTATATATTTAATGTGTGCGGGGAACTTCAATTCAAACCACTTGCATGAAAATCGCAGTAAAAAAATGCAATAAAAGAGCAGTCAAAGCGCAACTAAAGTGCAACTAAAGCACATTTAAAGTGCAGGTGAAGTGCAGTCAAAGCACAGTGAAAAAAGCGCAATAAAAGAATAATCAAAGCACAACTAAAGTACAGATAAAGCATATAAAATATGCAATCATTTGGCAAATTAATTTTCTTTATTTGAGTGATGTCAACGCCCACTATAGTTTACGTAATTAAAAAAAAATTAATATAATAATAACTAATTCAACTGCTCACATGAAGTATATGATATTATATGTGAAATCATATCGAGACAACTCAATGAATCTAATAAAATAAAATTAAGCTCATATTAATTAAGTGCAATTTAATTAATTTTACAATTAACATGCAAGAAGAGTTATATTTGGCAAATTAATGAAATAATTAGAAGATGTACGTAGATTTTAAAAAATATTATTATTAAACTCATTTTTAAAATTAATAAAATAATATTTAATAAATAAAAAGTAAAGCTAATGAATAAATTTGAAATTTTAGGATTGCATAAATTTATCAAAGACTTAAGTGATCGAATGCATAATATTGAGCAAATTAAGCTTATGATCAATTATTATATAAAAAATAAAATAAGTTGTACATGTTTTTAAATTAATAATAAATGAAACAAATAAAAAAATTAAGGTTGTGAAAACCGGACCGGACAACGAACCGGTAGAGAGAGCGGTTCACGGTTCGACTGGTTCAACTGGTCGAACCGGATGACGTAATAAATAAAATTTAGATGACATAAAAATCATATAATAACATAATTTTTTTATTAAAAAATAAATTGAATTCACACATTACTAATATCTTATATAATTTTAAATTTAAATATATTCAATCTTTAAATTTAATTTAAATTTAACAAAAAATTAACTTATAAATGAATTAATAAGTTTAATATAAATAATTCTTAATTTATCTTATTGAAAGAAGTAGTACATGTAATGAGATGAAACATCATGAAATGCTTGTTTGGAATTTTTTAATTTAAAATTAAGCATTTTAAAATTGAAATAAATTACAAATATTTTTTAATATTTAAAAATAAGTTATTTAAAATTTAAATATAAAAAAATGCAAAAGTTGAACCGGCGGGTTCAAGAGAACCATGACCGGTTTGCTATTTCACCAGTTGAATTGGCGGTTTATGACAAAACCGACTAGTTTGATGTTAAGCCGGTTCTTAGGTTGAACCGAACCGGCCTTCAAACCGGTTCATGGTTGAACCGGTCGGACCGGCACGTCCGGTCCGGTTTTTAAAGAATTGGAAAAAATCAAATAAATTATCAAATATTATGAAGTAATTTTTGCAATATTAAAAATAAATTTTGAATAAATCCAATACATTTTAATTCTAAATTCATCATTCTTGAGATGTTTAGAAAATTTAACTAAATCATTGTATAATGACAAATGTTCAAATATAAACATTATGCTAATTACTTAGGATCCCCATTTGTGTGTAATAAATGCTCTACTTGAGTAAATTTTCGAGTAATCATACATTCAATCTAGCCAAGTGGACATCAACATCATCTCTATGTTTGCTAGCAAATAATTACTAAAAAAAAAATTACTCATCAAATCATTAGGTAATATTTATTATCAATAAATCACTAATGAGCCAGGTCTGAATTATATATATTCACAGGGCCAACAATCAGTGCTATGCAATGATGATGGATCAATATTGATATGAAAGTGATTAAAATATTGGACATGAAAAATAAAGATCCTCTTACTACATGCACAAGTCAGCACTAATTCTCATTTTACGCATAGGAATCTATCCATCGTCACTTATGATATACACAAACATAATATTCTTCACACTACTTATAATACAAATCAATCAAAATATTTCCCCTCCCAACCAACCCCACACCAATTTTCTATATTTTCAAAACAGTTTACAATTGAATTATGTTGTTATTTATTGAATGCATAACCAAGGTAAAATTAAGAATTAAATATATATATATAAATAAAAGATTTTTTTCAAATAAATTATTCTTAGGTATAAATTTAGATTGAGAAAATAAGTATTCTCTTTAAATTAGATTATGGGTACACCAAATAAACTTATTGCCTATTATTTTACATATGCCCAAGATTGTGGAGGTGAATTATTCTTTTGATTAATTTAAAGTGAAAATGGTTTTCTCAACACAACATTCTAGGATGCAAAAAAAATACTAAAAAAATTGTGCAAGCTAAAAAATAAACACATAAGGAAAAAAAGGCATACGAGGAACTAACACATTTTATGGGGTTTAACTATAGCCTGCATCCACACCTAGGTGTCCTTCGCACCTTTAATTTCATGTATAACCTACACTAAACATATATTGTTACTACATAGGAGAATAAGCCTTTGCACCAAAATGCCACTTCAAGATGCCCTCCTTTCCGCCAAATGTTCTCCTCCAGAACACAAACACAAAATAAAATAAAATAATTAATAAAGCAATAAAATGGTAAAGGCATGTGGTTTCTTACGCAGATCTTTTGTAGCATGAGGAAGACTTGAATGTCATATATCAAATTATTGAAGATCATCATCATAACAAGCAAGCAATACGTTTCTCTTAATCAAATTTAGAATCTTAGAATATTTTTACAAGAGAAAGATTGGTGGATAAAGTTCATTATGGGCTCTAGGGATGTAACTATTAAGTGTAGACCTAGGGATTCTTTTTATTATTATTATTATTTAGGGAAACCTGTTGCAGTCCATGACCCCTAACCTAAGATTTTGATGATGACAAATAATATCGATTGACTTATGTCATTATTCAGTGAATATTTTGAATGTTTCTCTTGTTTTTCAGTACTAATGTTTCAGGTAGATCACATATTGCTCAAGACAACAGAAAAACTTGAGACTGGGTAGAATAGGATGTGAAGTCTTTAACTCTGTATTTTTATTTTATTTTATTTTATGTTTTTCTTTTCTTGAGTCTGGCCACAATAAGTGTATGCAAATTGAGCAACCATGCACACATACAAGGGAAGAGTTTTTTTCAGGGAAAAAAATTTTATTCTCTGTATAACGTACTTTACGATTTTAAATCATACTGTACGAAGTACTGTGGCTCAACGGCTATTCTCTATGAACTAATCGTATTGTATGATCATCTTCGTACTGTACAATGTGTTATTATTTTGAAACCCTAACCGTCAATTTAAATACGTTTTTAAATATTGAATTTTGAACTGATCGTACTGTATGATCTAATCATACAGTATGAATATTTGAATACATACTTAAATTAACCCCCATGATTAATTAATTAAATAAATGCTTAATTACTGATTGGTGATCGTAATCTACTACATGATTTGTACTGTATGATGAACCGAGGCTATTTTTGATCGTGTTGAACATCGTATTGGATGATCCCTTGATTTTTGAACTAATCGTACTGGACGATGTATACATCCTACCAGACGACCTCAAGCTTTTAATATATCACATTGTATGAATTGAATCGTACCAGACGATGAACAGAGATGAATTATAGTCATCCCAGCATTCATCCTATACGAATAGAAGAAATATATTATATCATACTTGAAAATATTTTTATGAGATAATATGATATAGTTCAGAAATATTGCTTGTTCAAACTAGGACGAAGGCTGTTTTGAGATGATCGTACTATATGAATAGAAATGACTGAATTGAAATACTTAGAGTTTCTTGGAGCCTGATATATATATATATATATATATATATATATATATATATGTTGCTTTTGTCTTTTGAAATAATAAGAGAGAGGAATGTGACAAGAAGGGGAACTCTTAAAAGGGACCTACTTGATGAGATATTTGGGTTTGTGAGAGGAAGGAGAAGGTGAGTTTGTGAGGGAGAAGGAGTGTGAGGGGATCACACAGTTGCTCCAAGCCTTTTGCATGCATACCATATAGACGACCTAAAGCTATTCTCTATGAACTAATCATACTGTACGATCATTATCGTACTGTATGAAATATTTTTAATTTGAAACCCTAACCACCAGAATAATTTAAGCAAGTTTTTAAATCTTAAATTTTGAACTGGTCGTACTGTACAATCAAATTCTAAAGTATGAATATTTGAATACATACTTAAATTAACCCCCATAATTAGTCAATTAAATCAAGGATTAATTACTAATTGATGATCATATTGTATGACATGGTTCGTACCGTACGATGAACC